GGAACACCATTTTTATCACTTAGGACCTCTTCTGAGGTCTGAAAGGACAACTCATTTCGTCTAAAACATAACATGCACCATTTTGGGACTTTTGGGACAAGAATTTTTCCATAAAGCTAAAATGACTAGATCAATCACATACAAGTATAATGTTCCGAGCTTTTTACCTTTTGGAGCTCCCAAACAGACGAGGAACCAATATCCACAAGCCAATCTTCCCTCCTTGGCTCCTTGATGCACAATCTCCTTCTTGAAGGCACCAAAAACACACTTATAAGCTCAAGAATGGTCACTAGGAGGCTAGGGTTCTCTCAATACGGCTGAAGGAGGGTGTGGTGGCTGAAAGAGATGGAAGGGTATGGTCCATAAGCTGTTTAAATACTCCACAAACCCTAAATGTTAGGGTTCCATCCTGGTACACGTATGCCCAACGTACACATGTGTATGCCCAACGTACTACTTAAGTTTCCAAACTTACCATTTTGCCACTAGGGCCTCCTTTTGTTAATTCCTTCTACATCAAGAGCCAAGATAGCCTAATTAGAATCCGAGGGGTGAATTTAAAGCTATGGGAAATATGGGATGTTACACACAGGTCACATATTCATATGCAACCCGTGCATGAAGAAATGAGCGCGAGCGGAAATTTTCCAAAATTTTCCATTTTTAGGTTTTTAATTTTATTCTCTATTGTTTGTCACGCCCTGCGAAAATGGAAACATAGGACGTGACAGTACAACGGGTTTCATAGCAAAACTTAAAATACAACACCAACCATACTATTAAAAGCTTTACAATTTACATTTAGTTTGAACAACTTTTAAAACTAATTACAACGTATAAAAAGAATCAGACATGTGAATGCTCCTATAAGTGATATGTCTCGATGTGCCACTTACTCGATGATTCCTGAAAAATTGTGTAAAATGAACGTCAACTATAAAATAATTGGTGAGTTCATAAGTTTACAGAAATATAGGTTTCATGAATCGTAATCAAAGTTTTGATAAAAGTTTCCATAAAAAAATTACATTGCTAAAATTAGTAAATAAGTTTCATAGTTAAAATGAGTAAATACATTCCGTTGCTAAAATGAGTATACACGTTTTGTTGCTAAAATGAGTATAGAAGTTTCATTGCTAAAATAAGTATACAAGTTTTGTTGCTAAAATTAGTATACAAGTTTCATTGCTAAAATGAGTATACAAGTTTCGTTGCTAAAATGAGCATATAAGTTTCCTTGCTAAAATGAGTATACAAGTTTCATTGCTAAAATGAGTATACAAGTTTCATTGCTAAAATGGGTATACAAGTTTCATTGCTCAAATAAGTATACAAATTTCATTGCTAAAATGGGTCTAGCTGTTATTATTGTGTTTTTTGTTTATATGTGTTTGAGACTGTTGATAGTCTCCAGGGTTGCTGATAACCCAACGAACGTACTGTTAGCCCATTGAGACTGTTGACAGTCCCTAGGGTTGCTGATAATTGGTAGTTGTTTATTTGTGTTGTCCTATGTGTGGTATTTTGGGGAACTCGCTAAGCTTTGTGCTTATGATTTGTGGTTTGCATGTTTCAGGTTTTCTTATATTAAAGGAGGGGCATGGCTTGATTGCATCACATAAATGAAGGACTTGTGTACTTGATAACTTTTAATGATACTCTGATAAATGTATTAAAAGCTTGAAGTTGTGATTTCAATAAATACTTAAAGTTTTAATCAAAAATTTTGGATAGAATTTTGGGACGTTACAAAAATAACACAAAAATAATCCGAATGGAAAAAGAATAATAATAATACCAAAAATTAACAAAATAAATAAAAATACAAGGATTGTCCAAACAAAAAATAACTAGTGTCATACCCATCCAGTGGACAGGTAGACAAAATATGATTGAAAGTTAAGTGCTTAATCTATTAAGCATTTTAATAGGTTCAAAATATGATTGAAAGTGTGGATCAAACAAGATACAACAACACGAAAACATTTATATACAAATAGGGGGAGGGGTTAAATGGTCCAAAATAAAAAATGATGCAAGAGGAGTAAAATGGTCGAAAAACATTAAAATCAATTAGTAATTTATTATAATTGTAAAAAAGTAATACATATATTTTTCTTTTTAAAGAACATTGTTGATTATGGTAATAAAAGGATGGATTATTAAAGATAAATCAAGAACTAATAAAATAAAATGTACTTTTTTTGTTTGTCTGATTAATTTGGCAGGAGGTGTAAATCCTTTGTTTTTATTTTCTTATTGTTTTGGATGAGAAGGGTAAGAATGAATCGGTTATATAAGTACTTTTATAAAACAATGTACCACATCTGTATTTTAAATAAAGGTAAAACAATTAACTATTTAAGCATTCTATTTTCGAATATAGCATCATATTTTAAAAAAATTATGTTTTTTTCTTATTCATATTTTCTTTGGCAAAAGATAAGCATTTCGATACAAATGGGGGGAGGAGGGGTAAAATGGTCTAAAATCATAGATGATGCAGGAGGGGTAAAATGGTCCTAAATCATTAAAACGAATTAGGAATATGTTATAATTGTACAAAATTAATACATGTAATTTTCTTTTACGGATTCTCACTGGTTTTTTCACCTGAAATTTTATAAATTTTATTAAAAATCGAGTCATGATGAAATATAGAATAATAGATACATAAAGTAATTGTACATCTCCAATAAATGTTCAATAATGTTGAATACAACCCAATTGCCCGTGAACCAGACAAATTAACATCCAAACCGGTCTCTGTATAAACCTTAAAAATTACAAATAATTAAAAATTTAAATTAAAATAGAATCCAATCAATGGAAGCAAAAGTAAGTGGGTAGATTATATACCTTTATGGATAGTTTTTTTTTACTTAATGTGAAAGGGATGCAATTGATGTCATATAGAGTGATACATGACTCTGGTCTGTATCAAAGCCGCAATAAAGTAGACAAAGGGTAAAATAGTACTTTTCTAACAAAACTTTAATTTAAAGAACCAAAAAATGGAAGTACGTCTCCTCACCTGTAATATAATATAAATTCTCACAACATAACTTCAAATTAATCATGATTTATAAAATATAATATAAATTCTCACAATTTCCCATGATCTTGGATGAAAACCCACTGTGAATCCTTCAAACACTCGTAAACCTGGTTTCTCACATGGAATTGCAAGTTCAACAATAATTATGCACTTAAATACTATAAATAATTAAAAAAACAAATGATTAGCATGTAGGAGTGAACAAGTTAGTGCCAATGTAAACATGAGCTTTGCTAACAAAACCTGCAAAACTACTTTTATTAGATATGCAAGTACTTTTATAAATCAATGTATCACATCTGTATTTTAAATAAAGGTAAAACAATAAACTATTTAAGCATTGTACTTTCAAATATAGCATCATATTTTCAAAAAAATTATGTTTTTTTCTTATTCATATTTTCTTTGGCAACAGATAAGCATTTCAATAAAAACGGGGAGAGAAGGGGTAAAATGGTCCAAAATCATAAATGATGTATGAGGGGTAAAATGGTCCAAAATCATTAAACGATTTAGGAATCTGTTATAATTTTAAATGGTGATTTGTAAAATCTATATTTTTTTGTTTGTCTAATAATATATTTAACATTTATTTCTAAATCTTCATTTTTTAAAAATTTTTGTTTTATTTTCTTATTTAACCATTGTAGTTTGAAAGTACAATGGTTTAATAAGAAAAAAAAACATATATATTTTTAAATATGAAATAAAAATTAAAATTGATGCTATATTTGAAAGTACAACGCTTAAATAAGAAAAAATAACATAATTTTTATTTAATATAAGTACAATGCTACTATTTCCAACAAACAACTTTCATGACTAAGTGCTTAATCTATTAAGCATTTTAATGGGTTCAAAATCTGATTGAAAGTGTGGATCAGACAAGATACAACAACACGAAAATATTTCAATACAAATGGAGGGGCGGGGGGGGGGGGGGGGGTAAAATGGTCCAAAATAAAAAACGATCAGAGAACAATAATGATCAAAATTATTTTAGCAAAATTCATTAAAAAAAGTATAACCAAACAGCCTTAAATTCATTAGGACACACGTAGTATCTAATAACTCCCTATATAAGAATTATGGGGAAAACCACACATTCTTTCATGAGGAAGTTAAAATTTGCTAGACATAGTATGGGTAATGACTTATGGGTATGAGATTCAGTAATTACCTTATGGATATGCCATAAACAAACATGTTGAAGAACTTCAAATTGTCAGTCAATGGTCCACAATTGAATTTCATACTCTAGCTAAGTTATTCATATCACCCGCATCAATAACCAACAATAAAAGAACCTAAAATCAAAAACAATAACATGAAAAATTATAGAAAACTGAAAGCACAATCAAACATTTCTCTTAATCAGAACACCATATCTGCAACATCAGTTTTTTCTAAAAAAAAACAAACTCACCACATCAATTCCTTCTTCTATAGAAGTCTGCGTTTGACATTAAAATTCAGACGAACCTGTAATCAAGAAGATATTAGACATTGAATGGGAAAGCTTCTGGCCTTTATAACATATACAAAAGTGCCCCCTTTACATGTAACCTAAACTACCCAATATAAACATTTTGCTTGATGCAAGATACACCTGTCCATTTATACACAAATCTCATGGTACTTCTAGAGTTATTACAAAGGATTGAAGGCAAAATCTGTAGCAGTACATGTGTACATGACTTCTTAGATTATTAATAAACAATTAACTTTTCAGATTAACCAAAAAAAAAACATAGAGGCAATAATACAAACAATTGGCATGCTTACTTATGAAAATAAAAATTAAAAAAAAAAAACAAAAAAAAAAAAAACGGAGGCTCAGATCTATTATAATGGAGTTTGTTTTGCCTAAATCCGTCAGGGCTACAATCGCAGTTGCAATGCATGTCAATTTAGAGAGAGATAACTCCAACGACAAAAAATGTCTTACGAATTGCCCAGCCAAGATATACAGATCAGGTCTCCAAACTCCAATTTTGACCAGGCTACATTTCATCATCATCGCCTCGTCGATCTGAAGTACAAATCAACATCAACAACAACAACCAAATTACGCGAATTCCGTCAGAGAGAGAGAGAGAGAGAGAGAGAGAGAGAGAGAGAGAGAGAGAGAGAGAGAGAGAGAGAGAGAGAGGAGAGAGAGAGAGAGAGAGAGAGAGAGAGAGAGAGAGAGAGAGAGAGAGAGAGAGAAAGAGAGAGAGAGAGAGAGTAGTTGGTGGTGAATAGGCATCGAAATCATCGGCTCATACTTGATCAAAGGATCAAATCGCCAGAGGAGTTGCTATCAAAGAGCCTCATCACCCTTGCCGGAGTCTAATTCGCTTGAGCAAAGAACAGCGTTACGCCTCAATATCTTCTCTATTTATATGCAGAGTTTGGAGAGATAAGGGGATACGAAAGAACCATGGAAGAGAACGTGGGGGGAAGAAGGGGGAAAATTACAGGTTAATCGCCCGTTGTAAAACGTGGGGAGAAGAAGGAGGAGGGTCATCGAAACCGATTGTTGGAACCGCAAACAACCGCCAAAATCGAGTTTATACAGACGAGATTGAAAGAACTTGGAGTTTAGACGGCTGTGATTTTGAGGACGACGGTTAGACTCACCGTTGTCAGTATTAATAATGATAATAATAATAATAATAATAATAATAATAATAATAATATTATGTATTTATAACAAATATTAAAAAAAAACGGAAAAAAAAAAAGTGTGTGTGTGGGGGGTTGAGGATGTGTTTAATGAATTACGGTTTTACTTTATTTCATTTGTTTCCAGCAATATTTGTTATTTATTGTATAATTTAATTTACTTATTTATTTTAAGTTCCTTTTAGTGTTTGATTTCTTATATTTATATTAATTAATATCATTGCTATCTTGGTTTTGGTTTTTGATTACTGAGTGTTAAGAAAAGAAAGCATGAGAAAAATGTGCTCAAAATGTTAAGAAACGACTTGATATTAAAAAGAATTCCAAACTATAAAATTGTAGTTGTCGATTGCCTAAAAATCATAGATAAGTACTTATGGTACTAATATTTTTATTGAATAACAGATAAGTAAATAGTCAAAAACATATCGCTAAGCAAAGGATATTACTAAAAGAATAAATCGTTGAGCTGTTGTGAGTGGGATGGCCACCAGGTGAAAAACGAATCAATTAGCAAGCATCAGGTGCCTCGCCCTTTGTAACAGATTCTATATAAACTCCGTATTTTCTCAAATGGATAATTGAAATCTATTTCTTGTACCCAACATCTCTCTATTGATCTATTCCTTGTTATCTACTTCTAATTAATTCGATGAATTATTATTTCACTAATTCACCAGGTTAAACAGGACATCGAAACTACCTGTTCTACAGACTACGTTTTAAGTCAAGCTACCTTCATATTTCTACTTTCTCCTTAATTTCCCACTGTTATTTTTGGTTCTTTTGTTTTATATGTAAATGTTGACTATTGTTTCAGGGATCATTAATGGTTATTCTGGGATTTGATTTTTATTACGCAAAAGTAGTTTTGTTTTCTGGAGTGATACTAAGCTTTTGAGCTGGATGGAGAATAATTTGAACAAGAATTCCGAAGACGCATTACTAAGATGGAGGAAGATAAATCGTCTTATAAAGAATCGTAAGAAATGGATTGGTTTCACTGCTGACCTCACCAACACTCTTCCGGATATGCGTCTCAATCAGGTCAACAATCTTACCTTACACCATCTTTTTTTACGCTGTGGGACGTTTCAACAAACTATTGCTGATCTTCATCGAAGGATTCCCTCGATTAGCAATTGTCACAAAATTCTATCATTTCTTTGGTTTCTCAAATCAAAAGTGTTTTGAGTTGACGATTTTCATGAAAAAAAAAAAAAATAGGGCTAGCGGCGCAGTTTGTTGCCCGTTTGCCTTCAATCGATATGTATTGAATTCATTAAAAAAAAAAAGTAAGTCTGATTTTCATGTTAAAACAACACTGTGAACATACGTAATTTTGTACATCGATTTTTAGCATAAAAATGATAAATTCTAATACAAGTCCTCATGTTTTTTTTTACACAATAAGTTAATATATCTTAGTTATTATCGTATAACGAATGAGAAACGAACATGCCACAAGTTACATCGCTAAGTCTTTTTGTATGATAAAATCAATTTTTTTGAAAGCTACATCTATAGATCTAATGGATATAATATTGTTATACATGATCCGTTGTACTCTACTAAGAAGTTCCACATACACATGTGTTTCTAAAAAAATGAAATAAAAGCTTAATACAAATAAAAATAAAATATTTGTAGGATGAGGGTTCTAAAATACAACGAACCAATTTTGATTGTTGGATCAAAAATATTAACAATAAAAATTTATAGGTTGTAATGATGTTCGTGGACACATGTAAAATATTATAGCAAACAACAAGAGAGAGAGAGAGAGAGAGAGAGAGAGAGAGAGAGAGAGAGAGAGAGAGAGAGAGAGAGAGAGAGAGAGAGAGATTTTATTATTCCTGTCGAATGGCTTGATAATACATTATGTTATGTTATACGAATTTAAGGTTATAAATATTCTTAAGTTGATCAAAAACTACCAATAAAGCAAAGTTAAAAAGGTCTAACAATAAACTTTCTCATAACAAATTCTAAAGGTAAGAAACGACTTAACACATTTTAGTAAGTACATGTTTCCTCAAATATTCCCAAATATAACATTAATCATGCTAAAACATTGATTATTTTTCAATTTTAGGAGTTAATTTTAAACAATAAAATATATCAATTTTTCAAAATTTCAATTTTAGGACTTTATTGTACAAATTGACATCTATATCGGTAAATGAAATACAATTTTTTTTTAATATTTTTGTTTGTTGACAACCACAATGTGAACCTAAATAGTTCCTAATTTTTACACATGTTAATTCACATAAGAACCACCCACTTAATAAGGTCTTATAATAGTCTTTGCTTACTTATTGATCAAACATTAACATAAATTATTGCTATCATGGTGTCTTGTATATAGCTGTTCAATATTAATCATTCTAGATTATACTCCAATGAAGCAGCCAAATGGCCTCAAACTACCCTTCCATGTCATAAAAGATTGTACCCAAGACTTCAACAACAAAAATTTCATTGGGAAGGGTGGTTATGGAAGTGTCTACAAGGGAATCCTCACATGGGGAGATCATATACACCAACTAGTTGCTGTAAAGCGGCTAGATGTCAACGGATTTCAAGGCAACAAGGAGTTTCGAACAGAGGTTGCAATGCTTTCCGAGTATCAACACAAAAACATTATAAAACTTATAGGATTTTGTGATGATAACAAGGAGATGATCCTTGTTTACGAATATGCAAGCCATGGAAGCCTTGACAAATATTTAAGTGACACTACAATGTCGGGTGGGCTATCTTGGTCACAACTCCATAAAATATGTATTGGTGTTGCTTCTGCATTGGACTATCTTCATAACCAAGTGGCTGAAAAACATAGAATAATACATCGCGATGTGAAAAGTGCAAATGTGTTATTGGATGAGAATTGGAATGCAAAACTTTCCGATTTTGGTTTGGCTAGAATAGGTTTAGCAAATCAACAAAACACCTTTGTGATCACCAACCCTGCTGGAACATATGGTTATACTGACCCACAATACGAAAGAACAGGGTTTTTAACCAAAGAGTCGGACGTTTATTCATTTGGTGTGGTTTTGTTTGAAGTTTTGTGTGGAAGGTTGGCGTGTGTTTCCAGTTACCATGATGAGCGGCGATTCCTACATCATTTGGCTCGAACCTGCTACAAAAATGGAGAGTTGGATAAGATTATTGATCAAAGAATAAAGAAAGATATCAATTCAGGAACATTAAGCATGTTTTCAGCTATTGCATATCAATGCTTACAAGAAACTCGGGAGGAACGACCTACAATTGCTGAGGTTGCATTCCAACTTAAGGAAGCCTACAAAATCAAAGTATGTTTAAATATTGTGTTTATCAATTACTTTAATATGGACATCTTTTTAGGGAAAAAATAAGGATGTCTACATAAAAGTATATTGGTTGCTGACACAACATTTTTTTTGTTGATCGGCATTAGTTTACACAAGTTTTCAAGATAAGAAGATGAAACCATCCTCGGTCGATTCACAAAAATGAATCTTTGGTGAGTCTTTATAATTAAGGGAGACATGGATGAATTAAAATCTAAAGTAAAACATGGGTTTTATGATTGTCTATGGACTGTATCGTTGAATAATCATCTTATCATTACAATTAAAATTGTAAGAAAAAAAATTAATGCAACCACCTGTATCAGGATATGAATAAATGACTATAAGTCACATATCTTATGTGCAAAATTGTAATGTACCCAACCATATTGTCACCTATAAAAGGAGAAGGAATAAGGCAAAGCCGACAAGTAGTAGAATGGAAAATGACGTGGACACAATTTGGAACCATATGGGATGACCAAGGGCAGAATAGGGATTAGCCCCAGAATAATCTCTATTTACGTAAGTGGCGTATCCATGTTGAGAGGCAGCTGATTATTGTGAGAACATTCCCGTGGAGAGTGATGGCTTCTCAAAGTGCTATTCCATATCTTGTAATTTTAGTATTTCAATCAAGCAATCATATTCTGGTTATCTTCGTGAATTCTTATCATCTTACTGTTTGTTGGGAGTTACCTATTTGTGGGTTTGAAGGCATAACAAAAATTTGACTGTAGAGGCAATCTTGTTTATTTTCTACTGCCCTCCAATGTTGTAAAAATTATTGTGGTTTATTGTAGTATTTCAATGTTGTAAGTTCGGTCAGGCTATATATCGGTCAAAAGTTGGTAGCAATCTACTATTTGAAATATTTATTTTAGTTTTTTTTAAATTATTAAACATTTTATGGTGATGAGGAGTGAAGACTTTAAAGTAGTTTAACACATGAACAAGTTTTACTTTGAGATTGTTATTCACTTATGTTTCATTAATTGGCTAGATTCTTCAAATTTTAATGTGGTAATATAAGAAAATAGAAGTAAGATGTTATAAGTTTAGGTTTTATGGAAAACAAAAACCCTAAAAAAATCCCTAAAAATCATAAAAATTACTTATTTGTTAGACTTGTATTGCTTCAAAAGTTCACTCATTTGTCCAAGAAAATGACTTTCTATCTCCTCTTGTAACTTTACATCTCTATCAAGACGGGCTTGTATTTCCTCTTGTTCCTTCACTTCCCGTTCCATCATGCTCTCTAATTCATTTACCTAAAATATGTTCCAACAAACATATATAACTAATATAAAATAGAGATGGAAACAAGAACATATTAATCCTTCATTAAACCAATATATATAATAAGAACATACTTAACTATGTTTTACCACAATATAATGAATGCATCCATAATGGAAACATAATTTACATAATAACAAATTTAAATCTTATACATATTAACAATGAACTTTGCATTTTTTACCAATATAGTCAGCGTACATACATTTTTATAAGAACATACTATATACACACATTTTGTACCTAATAGCAACTTACTTTACTATTTTTATCATAATATCAATATACTTTATTTTTTATTGATGAAAACACAATAAGTAAATCAATATACCTTCTTTTGAGATAATGTGTAATCATGGGAGCATGAGTCACAGTCGTAAGGTGTCCCCAACATGACGTAGCCCGGATCTGATGATCCCACCCCGTAAACTCACCTCTTTTTTCTCTGCCACCAAAATGCTCCCATATTTCAACATTAGGTGATGCTGACTAGGGTTGGGGCCATATTTCTCACTCATTGCCTTCTCATATTTGCCCTACAATTTACCAAAACATAATCATCGTTATTACTCTAAACACTTGAAAAATAATGAAATAGCAAAATGTAAGGTCTTTTTATTAAAGTAAACTGTCTGTAGGGGTAGAAATATAAAGTGCATTGTTTATATTGGTAAAAAAGGGTAAATTATGTTGCTAGTCTAAGCAATTTGGATTACAAAAAAGATAAATTTATAATTTGTTTCTTGGAAATACTCGGTACCATTAATAGCTGCCATGGATAAAGATGACACCCCAAAATTGAGTGAAGTTGCCAAGATTCTAGAAGAAACTCTAAATGTCAGATTTATCCTAATTTCTATATAAAATACTTTTTGAATATGGGTTTATTTTCTTTTTTAGTAAAAGATGTTTTTTTAATTAACCATTAGATAAACGATGTTCCACTGAAAGTAAGAAAACTGGTAGTGAAAATATGTGATGTGGTGACAAGAAGTGATGTAAGGTTGGCTGTTGCGGGCATTATGAGATTTTTTAAAAAGATCGGTATAAATGTGACTATAGGGGTTACAAGTGGAAGGGTTAAAAGTGGAAAAGTGGAAAAATATGAAGAACGGTTGTAGCAATAGAAGGTGGAGGCATTAGTGTTGTTCATAAACCGATTGGATCAGAAGGCTAAAAAACACGCATAAGGTGGATTTCATTGGAATTCAAGAAACAAGTTCACAAGAGTGACCGATTTGGCTCAATTGACACCATCAGATGTTGGGGATTAATGAACTTTGACTGTGATCACATTAACCCTACAGGAGGTTCTGGTGGACTTCTAAATTTGTGGGATGCCTCGAACCTTTGTAAATCACAAACAGTCTCAACAAGAAACTACATCGCCACATCAGGATATTAGAAGGGCTTCCCAGGTACTACCACACTTGTTAATGTATATGCTCCACAATCGATCATAGATAAATGGAAATTATAGGAGGAGCTAGAAGAGCTTAAGCAGAGTTTAAATGGCATATGGGTCTTTTTAGGAGATTTTAATGTCGTCATAGCTCCCTGTGAAAGATTAAACTCAAGTTTCTGCCAATATACAACTAACGACTTCAATAGATTTATTTTAAATACTGGTCTACATGAGTTCAATGCAGGTGGTAGAAAATATATCTTCCTACGAGATGTTGGTCTGAAGTTTAGTAAATTAGATAGATTTCTAGTTTGTCAGAACTTTGACAACATTCAACCCCTTACTACAATGACTATTCTTCCACGAGAACATTCTGATCACTCACCGGTAATCTTGAAGCCTTCCAACATGGAGTTTGGTCGCCATCCTTTTAGACTCATGAACTCCTGGAGGCTACACAATGATTTCAATTCCGTTTTTAACTATGCTTGGAACAACTTTTGTGGTTTTGGTGCCTTTGATAGATACTTAATGGAAAAACTCAAACACTCACTAAAATATTGGAGACCGTAGTAGCACTGAATGAATCCGGGTCCTTAAAAACCCTTAGAAAAGTAGACAACCTGGAATTGAAGGCTGAATGTTGGTGATTGTATATCACTAATATTATTTAAGTGTAATGGGGTTAATTTGTTGATCAATGTCACTTTGACAATTATCAAACAAATTAGTATGGTGCGGAGTGCACATTTGTTTGATTTTGTCATTGTTGAAAGTATACTGCTATTTAGAGGCGAAGCCCCTGAACTCATGGGGGTCCGGGGGCAGCACCCCTGGAAGCGGGGTCCAAGGGACGGTAGCCCCTAGCTGGGGTCGGGCTGGATAGGAAGTTTATGACACCCGGTTTTGTTATCCATTTATAGACCCAGTTTTATGGTAGTTTATAACAAGTAATATGGCCGTTTTTGGACATGAAGTTATTTATATATAACTACCATATGGTAGTTTTAAGACAGAAAGTTAGTTTTCTGTTATATATGATCAATTTTGGATTCTCTTTTTGGGTACAGATTCATAACATCTTCTTCATTCTATATTATAGAAAAATAGTGAGTTTCATCTGATTAGAGATTTTGAGTGTACCCTCGAAATGCTTTAATCTGAAAGTGTTTCACAACTCTCACTGATCCAAGTTTATCTATACCCCAAATTTTTAACACTGAATCATGTACTCTCTCAGATTCTGAAATCTTTCAAAGGAGGGATGCTAAACTCGAAATTTGTGCACTCGAGAAAATAGCAAAACTTGATCTGCAACAAAAAGCCAAAGTCAAATGGATATGCGATGAGGATGAAAACAACCGATTCTTTCATGGGATTCTAAAACACAAACACCGGAAAAACTGGATTCATGGTATACATATTAATGGAACTTGGTCTTAGGATCCAATCTCCATTAGAAAAGAGATCTTTGGCTTTTATTGCATGAAATTTCATGACCCGTGGCCTTCCAGACCTAAGCTAATTAGCTCTTTATTCAAACAACTTTCTCCCAACCAAAGTTCATTCCTTGAATAAAGCATCTCCATCAAGGAAATTAATAGTGTTGTTTGGGGGTGTGGAGCTGAAAAAGCCCCGAGAACAGATGATTAGACATTGAAACTCATAAAAAACAAATGGGGGATCATGAAAGAAGATATTTTCCGATACATCAAGCACTTTGAGATGACTGGAACATTTTCACAGGGATGCAACTCATCATTTATCACTCTTGTCTCTAAAGTGAAGGATCCTATCTTCGTTATAGGCCCATTAGTCTTATTGGATGTCTATACAAAGTTGTTTCCAATTATTTGCAAATAGATTGAAAGGAGTTGTCGATTGCATTGTCGATGAAGTACAATCTGCTGACATTGAAGTTAGAAATATCCAAGACAGGCCATTTCACTACTAGAAAATAGGTAATACAATACACCCTCATCTAATATGGTTGTAATGAAAACCGTATTATAAAAGCTTAAATTAATCTAATACACACAAATGAAGAAATCTAACATTGTTAATTAGGTGTACTAGATAATATTTCTAATTAAAAATTGTTATTTCACAATTATTAACAAACTTTAGCCTTTGCATCGACCAGAATGTTTAACAAAACATTGGATGTTCATTTGACGCAACGCCAAAATTGAATTGACCGTTCATTTTTATTTTTCCCATTTTGCCCTTGTAGATCGCCTTCACTCTTTTCTGGTCAAGCGACTTACTTATCAAAGCATCGATGAACGACAACATCAACTGCGAAAATGATCACTCTCTCTCTTGATGGATCGATCGACATACTGTGTCACCTCTCTTCACTAGCGAGCACCTCTTCAAAACTCATTGTCAATCCAGCTAATTCAGTGTCTCTTCATCGCCGATTCAAAATCGATTTCAGATTCGTGTATCTTCACCGCCGATTCAAAATTTATTTCAGATTTAAATTCGTCGAGTCTTCAATATTGAACAACCAGGTATTCTTTCTAATCAATTTTTAATTAATGTCACAATACATTAACAATTGATAGAACTAATTCAGTTTTCAAACTGTTCATTCATTGCATATTTGGTCATTTGATTTCCGTCTATTGGAGTACATTGAGAACTGTATATGCATGAAACTTACGTTTCTTCACATGGTTCGTTCTTTGCAGCTTAAGTTCCTCACCCTCATCTCCAACCTTCATCAGAGAACCTTCCGTAACTATTTCCCATGGCGTCTGCTTCATCTCTGCACATTTCAATAACGATTCTGATCTCCTCAGCTTCAAATCCCCTCTCCTTTAGCAACATTTCTTCAATTGGATTTTCCAAGAGAAAGAAATTGTTCATTCTTAACATTGTTCCTAATTTTTTTGATTTTCTTAGCATCATTTTACATGACCAATTGAAAATTTTGGGTTTTAGCTACATGTTTTCACTATGGTTTGAATATAACCTGTCTTTTTATAAATTGAAATAATTAAACTGAAACAAACAAACTGATGCCAAACTGAGATTGGTATGAATCTACGTATCTGGTAGATAATAATAATAATTGATTATATTGATTACGAACGAGAGTATTCTCATTCTAATGATTTTCAATGGATAATGAGATTTGTGTTACATCTACTACTAACTTTGATATCCTTATCGAGTTTGATTAATGTTAGAATTGTTAATATGGAGATTGTTGTTGGTAATGTGGTATAGATCCCTTGGAATTAACTTTGTTTATCTTAGTGCATAACTAAAATTTGACTGTTGATTTCAACATTCTAGAACTGAATGATGGCTATGGTTTCTTGAATAGTGCAAAAGCATCCAAAATAATCTGAGTTTTGTTCATAGAATCATGTGTTCATCAAAAGAGCATCTAGCAAAAACGTGGCTCACATCAAAAGCATTTGAATCACTAAAGATTAGGTCATCAACCATCATAGTGGAAGCTCCTAAAATGTTGAAGACAACAGGTTCTTTGCCTTGTCTCAGAGTTAATTCTTGTTTAGTTAAAGCCGATGATGTTGGCTGGTAAATTTTTTACCGAACATCTATAATAAGAGAGCCTTTTGGTGGAATTTTTTGCATTATAAAACTTTAAATGAAAAAGATCCTTTTATCTCCACAATAGAAACATTATTTTAGTTTGTTGTTTGTGGGGCCCTTATATGTGTTATCTATTAGTTGAAAACCCATAGATCCACCAAATCATTGAAAGCTTGTTAATTAACAAGCTCTTTGAAAAAGATCATCCAATAACTTATTAAATTTTCTTGAGTTTATTTTTATTTTTATTTTATTTTAATTTTTTTTCACATGAAAAAGCTCTCATTGTGATGTTCTGATTAACTAGTTATTTGGTTTCATTTCATACCTTTTTTTAGTAAATATCATGTATGCTTAATAAATTTGGAACCAGTTAAAAGGGTGAAGGCTATCTTTAATTAATATACACTAACAGAGACAATGGCATGTTTAAAGAGAAATTTATTAATTTCATGAACAAAAGTTGATTTGTATTATAGCAAATCTTTTTTAAGGTAGTATTTAAAGTAAACAATTGATTTTGATATTTCCATTTCTACACTATAATTAAAAGTATTACTTTGATGGAAGATCATAGACACATCCTCAAGATTATAGTTTTTGATTAAAGTAAATAACTAAGAATACTCATTTGATATATCAGAAATAAGGAATATTATTACCACAACCATAGCAGGTCACCGATGTTATCTTGTTTAATGCACCTTGTGTGCAAGATTTTATTAAGGCATTGTATTTTTTTTTTCAAATTTATCATTTATAGTATCGTACTTTCAACTTTTCTTTTTGTTTTTTAGACATTATTCTTTGAAAATTTTATCAACTACTTTGTAATTTGTAGAGATTGATCCTTCGGTCACAACTCACACAGGAGGAACAATGAGTTTTTTACATCATTATAAATGGTCATAACATGTTTCAAGAGATTGATATTGTCAAAATGAGTGGAGATATTAATAGTGCTCTTGTGCTAACAGTCCATGTTAGCGGGATGAGTTTGACAATAATTTTGCAGCTTGTAAAAGGTAGTCATACCAATCATACCATAATCAATGCCATAGAGACCATAGAGATCTTTAAAATTGTTAGAGCTGAGACCAATACTTCAATTGATGAAGGTAGTTTTAAAACGTTTCTTGGAATTTGAAGCTTTGAAAAGGATTCTTATGAAGTAAAAATTCTTTCTTTATGTTGTAGTGAAAGATTTTCAGAAATTAAAGAGTTATTTTCAGTTGGAATGGTGATCCATGTGTTCCACAGCAGCATCCATCGAGTGGAATTGGGTAATGAATAAGGTTGGAATGCACAACCGAAATGGGTTGGAATGCAATCACGAATGGATTGTAGGAATGAGGGATGTGACATCAAGTACGGTTGTTTATGGTGTATTAGATGCTAATATCTGGTGTAATAGATTCTTTTATGCGATGGTTGTAAAAAGTAGATTGGATACATATAGAGTACGGTTAAATAGTCGTACTCTATTAGGCATGTAATCTAATACACCCGTGTATTAATACGGGCTTAAACTACGTACTATATTCATATTTTCAACCGTATTATATTACACTTTTTCTAGTAGTGCTTGTAATGCACGAATTATTTACTTTGGCAAAGAAAACAAAAAAGTCAACTTATTTCTTTAAAGTTGACTTTGAAAAAGCTTTTGATTCAATAAATTAGGGATATCTATACTCAATAATGGAACAGATGGTGTGTAGCGGAAAATGGAGGCATTGGAGATACGATTGTCTTTCTAGCTCTAAAGCTAGTAAATCGGTCACCTACGGAAGAATTCCAAACCACTAAGGGTGTTAGACAAGGTGACACGCTATCGCCATTCCTATTCATCCTGGCTATGGAAGGATTACATGTGGCAATGAAAGGAGCAAGAGACAAAAATTTGATTCACGGAATCAAACTCCCTCATTCCGGACCTGAGATATCTCATCTATTCTATGCTGATGATGCCATATTTGTAGGAGAATGGAATCACTGCAACCTCAGGAGCCTCTCGACAATACTAAAATGCTTCCAAATATCTTTAGGTTCAAAAGTTCACTTCCAAAAATCCAGACTCTTTGGAATTTGTACCACTGATTCTGAATTGCAATGTATGGCCAGAACCCTTGGTTGTCTGAAGAGCTCATTCCTATTCACATATCTTGGGGTACCCGTCGGCACCAGCATGTTACCGAAAAAACACTAGGACCCGATAATTAAAAAATTCCAATCCAAGCTCTTTAACCGGAAGGAAAACACATTGTCATTTGGTGGTAGATTTGCACTGATCAAACCAGTTTTGGGAAGCCTACCTACTTATTACCTATCCTTATTCAAGGCACCTCAAGGAATTTTAGACACCTTGGAAAAAAAATAAGATGAAGATTTCTTTGGGAAGGCAACGAATATCAGTGCCGGTCCAAGACGATTTGAGGTCCGGGGCAAAATAAAATTTTAGGCCCTTCACTGCCGCACCTCGGAAAATTTTGTTAAATTAAATAACTTAATACACTATTTTTAAATTGTCTTTGATCCCTTATAAACTTCCTTTTTATAGTTTTCATTTTTATTAATATAATTTCTTAATTATTATTTACTCCCTCATACATAATTGTTTGAACCAAAACTTTATTTTTATAAATTGTAGTCCACTTTGCAAATGAGTTCTCCTTTGCATCGCGTGTTGTATTAAATACTAATCGTATAAAAGATAAAGTTAATACGATAAAACAAAATAAAATAAAAAATATCCTAAAAATCACCTTATAGAATAAAACCTAAACCTAGCATAATATAATTGATTAAATCAACCACGCGCAAAGGTTCACAAAAAAAATAATGTTTTGTTATTGAATCAGAATTTAATTTCCTTTCGGAAGCTGTCGACATGAACTAATAATATTCCCTTCATTATTTTTTATGATCTTTCCATTGAATTTGTATAACATAATAGGAAATTTTGTTGTTGAATTGAAAGTTTTAAGAGGGCACTTTTGAGAAAAAAAAAAAAAATATGTTTACACACATAGAATTTCAACAATAGCAATGTTTGATGTGGGTGATTTCTTCCAGGTTTTATATATATATATATATATATATATATATATATATATATATATATATAGGACCTCTTTTGGGAGCAGTGAGGTTGGAACACGGATCAACAACCACAACCGTTCCTGCGCTACAAACCAAATGAACTACAATCATCTTTGGTTATTTTTGGGATACGTGTAGTATTTATCATTTTAAAACTATATATATAATATTAATCCCTATTTGGGGCCCCGAGATTTGGCGAGGCCCGGGGCGGTTGCCCAGCTTGCCCACCCTCTAGGGCCGGCCCTGACAAAGATAAACGGAAAATACATTGGGTCGATTGGTCAAATGTTGTATCAGATAAAAAAGTTAGAGGGCTTGGAGTGGGTACTTTGCAAGCTCAGAATACTACACTCCTAGTCAAGTGGTGGTGGAGATTAAAAAAGGAACACGGTCGGTTATGGGTAGATATTATTGAAAGTATCCAAAATCTTTGAAAACAGGCTACCAACTATCTGTCATGGAAAGGAGCTACTGGCATGTGGAGCAACATATTTATCTTACTTTTTCAGTTGTTGAAAGTATCCAAAGTCAGTGAAGTGTCTGAACGATCACAACATTGATCTCAGTGAAGTGTTTGACTTTTTGACCATATATAACATTAGAAAATAACGGGACATCTTTATCTTCCCTAATTTCTTCCAGCCCCTTTTTACTGGTCCTTCTATTCTTATTTTTCTTTCTCCCTGTTAACAAAATTGAACCTTTTCTTCAATTCGGGGTTTCTAATTGAAGTTTTTCTCCACTTGTGAATTTAAAATCTAGTTGTTGATCACTCTCCTCCCGTTGCTTACTTTTTCAGTTGTTGATTTCCTTCAAATCAAAGGTAAGAACTAAGAAACGATCTTGTGTGGCATTTTAACTTATGATTTCTTGACTAGTAACTAGATATACACTTATCTTCTGCAACATTGCTGATTTGCTTTACACTTGACTTTGCAGTATGTTTTTTTTCTACATGTAATTTGTTGTTGTCTCATTTCACTACAGATAATTTGTTAAGTTCCTGGACCTAGAATGGCGTATAAAGGAGCACGGAAAGATCCATGATGGAGACATAGTGAAGAGATAGAAGTACCCATGGTGGAAAAATCACCTACAAATATTTCAAGTGTAAAATTTATACCAAGTTCATCAAGGATGTATATGTGAGGGTGGGTGGGTTTGGGGGGGGGGGGGGGGGGTTAAAACGAATGATGGAAAATCTTACTTGATCACACAAAGATGTTGCACCTTCTGTAAAAATGCTCATTAAAGTAAAATAAGAAATACAATATTATCTAAAAGCATTTCAAGATAAAAAAATTCGCTAATCAGTGAAATTTTGAGGAAAATATGGGGTGTGGATGATACTATATGAGAAATAGCAGTACTAATGGTGCTACTACAGGTGCAACTTCGTGTCCTAGTGTTTGCACCAGAGATGTTAGAGGTCCGATAGACTGATATATGGAGACTCCTAATGATGATGATCTAGGCATATTACGAGTTGAGAAGACGACACCGTAGAAGAACACTGCAATAGAGTTTTCTTGGATATTGGGCAGTACTTTTATGAGCTTGGGATGTCATTTAATATTGCGTCGAGTCTGACAATTATAAATATGGTGCATTCAATTGGTAATTATAGGCATCACTTAAAACCTCTTTCAACACACGAGTTGAGGACTTGGATTTTAAACGAAGGTGTCAACACAACCACTAGATTTGTCGATGACATAGAAGCTACTTGGAAGCAAATAGGGGTTTCATTGGTATTAGATGGCTAGTCTGATATTAAACAGAAGCCTCATCAACTTTCTTGTGAACAATCAATATGGTAAAGTATTTTTGAAAATTGTTAACGCGTCTGATTGCATAAAAAATGCACAGAAGTTGTTCGAGTTTCTTCATGATGTTGTTGAGGAAGTCACTGAAGATATTGTCATTCAAGTGATCACAGATAATGTAAGTGCATACATAGCAGCCGATACCTTATTGATGGAAAACCAAAAACATTTATATTGGACTTCGCGTGCTACACATTGCACCGATTTGATGCTTGAGAAGATTGGGGGTTGCCAAAATTACAAAAACTGCTTTACCTAAGGCCAAAAAAGTGAGTTATTTTATTCATAACCATAAGTGGGTTTTTAGCATAGGAAAAAAGTTTTCAAAGATAGATCTTCTTCGGCCAGCGACCACCCGATTTCCATGTGTCTTTTTAACATTAGTGTTGGGCTTATAGTGTTGCGGCATGGACTCGGTCATTAGCCCAGTTTTGGTATCCGGTTTGGGCTTGTCCAACTGTGATTGTTTTTATTCTAGGGTTTTAGTATTTAAGGTGCATGCATGCATCCTTAGTAAGTAACACTTTCATAACTTTCTTATCATAAGTATTGTAAACCCTAACTCGCCTCTATAGTGGAAGTTCTTTATCGAGCTCTGCTAAGGCGTGACTATATTTGAATCATAAACTTCATACTGATTCCATATTGTGTTCTTAATTGTATTGTGATTGAATTGTTTGTTCTTTATCAATATACCTGTGAAAGGTCTAAACGATCTAGAGATTCATTCTCATCAATTGGTATCAGAGCAGGAGGTTGTGTAATTCATACACATCTCTTATGCTGAAGAAATTATTAGGGTTCAACCGCATTGATTCATATTAATTGAGCCGTCATTACAAATTGGCATATCTCATTAATTGTCGATCTTGCCCTAACAGTAAATTACAAGTCTAATCTTAAACAGGTTATCGATCAAACGTCACCATGTCTATGGACGATTCTCAATCCAATCCAATCAACATCTCCAACAGTATTGGATCAACAACAAGAATTCCAATCTTATACACTCAGGACTATGAAGTATGGACGCATCACTTCAAATATTATGTTATTGGCTCAGAGGATAATTGGTACTTGATCTGGGATGCAATCACAGTTGGTCCGTTTGCTCATTCAAGCTCCTCAAAGATTGTCAAAAGTCAAAAGGAGTACAATCAGCTCTTGAATGATGTGAAAGGCATTCCCCAAGACGAGAATGAGAAGTTTCAGTGCAACATCAAAGCCTTAAGAATGATTAGGTTTGCTTTACAATGGGACACGTTTCAATTGGTGAGTTCATGTGCTACAGCAAAAGAGATATGGGATAGGTTAAAGGAATTGTATTCTACTAATGAAGATCTAGAACATTCGATTCAAATGTTGCTGCTTTCGGAGTTTGGTGATTTCAAACAGAAGACCAAATAAAAACTTATTCAAGCCTCTGATCGGTTTAATCATCTTCTTAGTAAGATGATAAAGCATAGGATCAAAAGGAAGGTTATTGAGAAGAAGGTCACCTTCATAAACGGTCTCAGACCTGAATGGATGGCAGTTGTGTCCACAGTGAAGGCACATGAACAGTTCAAATCATACTCTGTGGCGAAACTGGTGGGAATTCTGAAGTCCCATGAAAGTGCGGTGTCAAAGAAAACGAACGCGGTTTCTAGTTTGAGGTCATTAACTCTTGTTTCAAAAGGAAAAAGTGATGTTGAAGAAGATGAAAAATTGGATCTTGGTGACTATGAACTAACTGGTGAAGAGTATGCCCTGATGGTTTCTAATCCAAGAAAGTTTATCAAAAGAAAACTCCCAGCCAACAAGAACCGAAACTAGCAGGGAATTTATAGTTCTTAAAAGTAAAAGGAGGAACCAAATTGGTGGTGACTCAGGTTTTGATTGCCATTACTGTGGAGGCAAGAATCATTTTGCCAAAGACTGCATGTTAAAGAAAATTTTTGAAAAGGTCGATGAAGATGATGAGGAAGCGAATCTCCTAAGACGATTGGAGGAGATCAAGAAAAGGTTGTCAGCAGCTAACAATAACACCATGAATGCTTTGATTGTATAGGATACAGGTGACAATGATGAATTTGGTGGAGTGCAGGTGTGGTCCACAGATTCAGAGGACGAAGAAGTGAGAAAGCCGACTCATGGCAAGGCTATGCTGGTGAAAGAAGAATATGCTGCAGGAAGATGTTTGATGGTGACAGAAGGTGTATCACAAATGCGAGGATACACAACAGATGGTAGACTGGAACATGAGAAGCAGCGAGAGGACAGGTGTTTCGCTGCAAAA